CAATCATATTTTATCCTTCACTATTTTAAACTTAAGTAAGCACCATATACTCACACATAGGCAGCCATTGTGACCTATGTGTGAGTATCAGTAAAACACCCACTTCTTGGAAATGTATTTATAGATACTCAAAACCATCATGTACAAGTTCTACAGGATTAAAGTTAAATTTAACTCAGTTTATCACTCTAATAATCAAAGATATTTTTTTCAAATTCAAATCAGATGAAATTTATGTCACCTTAGTTTTTTAAAACTGTAGGGCCTGTATGAAAGAAAAATGAACAAAGAATATCAGACTTCAGAAAAGTAACAGGCATAAAGAGATGCATACGTCAAAGATTGACGTCAGAATTAAGTAAACAGGCAGCCACTCCTTTCAAGGTCAAATTAGGCAGTTTACTATTAGGGGAGTATATATAGATAGTAAAATGATATGAATAAATTGTTTTGAAATAAATCATCCAAAGTTTAAAAACTTCCACTTTCCATTAAAAAGGATAACACTCAAGGAAAAACAACACCTTTTTTTTTCTTTTCAGACAAAGATTCTCTTGGAAGTGTTTTTTAACCTTCCCTACGTACTCTCCCTAAACAGTATAAACACCTATTGAGTCATTTCTAAAAATATAAAACCACACTGCATGAAGAAGGAGGAGTATATATAAATATCATTACAGCTTTCATTCACCTCATATGGACAATGCATATCAGAACTAATTTGTTATAAGTGCATAGTATAATATTAAGAAACATATATGTTTACTGAAGTTAATTTTTTAAAAATATTTGACAAATGATACTAAATTTACCAATTACATACTGGTAGTTTACTTTTATTTCAATTAATTACAATATTTTTCCGCAAAAGTACCCATATGTGATGAACAGGTGTGTGTTACTAAATTTTGTGTCATATTACTTCAATACTTATATTTTTTACATATCTACATGAGTTTTCAAGTGTGTAACATACAGTTTTTTTTTTTTTTTTTTGTTAACATTGTTCACATCAAAAGAGAGCTGTTTCTCTTCACTATATTACTTAAGTTATTATCAACCAGTACCTTAACATGACGTACAATTCTAGGAAATAGTAAACATAACTTTGAGGTTTATTCTTATGTTAGAAATTTGAAACGATAATGTGTTATGAAATTATGTTTTTATTTTGCTTACAGCTTCTGTTTGCTACCTTCCAAACCTTATGCAGCTCAGTTTTTACAGAGAGATGGCGGAAAAAAGAAAGAGCATGACTTACCAAGTGTTACCGGTTGTGTTGATGGTTAGTTAATTAACAATACAAAATTAAATTTCATGTCATGGACAGAGATATGATACATGTATAGTCATACTTTCATAAATAACCTCAACTCCTAGAAGACATAGAGAACACTGGAGATTCTGAAGGTCCAGAGGACCTGCACTACAAGACATTGGCAGGTCCTCCAAATTCCATACTGGACCAAACTAAGTATTTTATGAGTTTATGTTTACAAATTATTTATTTTATGTATTGCATTTTCTCATAATTTAAACCTTGCCAGTCCAGAGGATCTGCAACATCATAAATCTTGCAGGTCCTCTGGCCTTTCAAACAGTCATGAGCTATCGGACAGGCAGTTTTTATATTGGACAGGCAGTTTCCCCATATCTGCTCCTAGGCCATTTTTGCCAAATTTTTCAAAGCCTTGAAGGTTGAAGTCACTAGTAATAAATTTGAATCAAATATAAAAATTAATAACATAATATATATCCATACAAAAATAATCATATGCTATCTAATATGATCACTTTTTTCTCATTCCTTCAAAATTGTTAAAAAAATTATAACTTTCAGCTTAATCCATAATCATATAGACAATTTAAACATTGAAAATCAACAGTAAAAATTTTCTCCATATCTACTCTTCCAGTTACAGATACAGAGTATCTATGGCAGTTCCCTGCAGTCATGTGCTTCCCAAGGAACCAGATACTACTCTCCTCCCTGCAACAGTCACTCTGAACTCACAGTTGATGGGTGCTGTAAGACCTGTAATGAGTGCCAGCCTGGAGAAGGAGTCAACAGAAACTATGTGGTGTGTTTTTTAAATAAGTACATATTTGCAAATACTGCATCTTTGACATTATTCAATTGTGTTCAATAAATAAATAATACTTGCTCAGTGTAAAATTGAGAATATGTATAATTTATGATTGCTTATATGCCATGGCCTTTTTCCAATTAAAATTTGTAAATTCATATACAATAATTATCTATTTTAACAATATAATATAGCTTCCTTTTCATCCTTCTTCTCCTCTTTAACTCCCCTATCTCTGTCTCTTTCTCTCTGGCTGCTCTCACTCATATCTCCCCTTACGAAAATTTCCTATAGGATTTCCTATAGGATTTCCTATAAG